CGTGGCAGGGGGGGGGCGTCTGCTCTGTAACCTGGGGTCCCCCTGTGCTGTGCTGTGTGCATTGGCCCAGACACCGAGGCCTAGTCTGGGCAGATGATAAGGCTCTTCCCAGGGGGAGAGACAAAGGACGGGAGGCGGAGACGGCCACCTGGCGGGGGGGCAGGGCTTGGGAGCTAGTCAGTCTTGTCTGGAAAAACATGGAGAGAAGGGACTAAGCTGAGTTCTGGGGGTGAGGGGGGTGGACCCTACCCCAAGGGGGCTGAGGCTGCCTGGCCCGGACTCCTGTACCCACATCCCATCTGTGCTGGGCTGTACCCTGGAGAAGCAATAACCCCTCTGTTCTACTGGCTGGCGGAGTCTCATCTCGCTGCTACGGGGGTGCAGGATCGGGGGATCCCCGACGCGCCGTCACAAGGATCACTGGCCTCCTGCCTCTCCGTTTCTCGGCTGTGTGGCTGACCCCGGAGGAGCAGCTCTGCTCCAGCAAGGCTGGGGACATCCACCCGGGACGTGGCCTGCGTGGCAGAGCGGCTGCTGTTCTCCTGTTGGCCCATCTCAGCTGCTCCTTACAGTCTGTCCTGGGCCCCTCCGTCAGAGCGCACCTCGCGGGCAGCTCTGCTTTCCCTCCGCCCATCCCAGAGTAGGCGGCGTTCTCGCTCGGCAGGCCAGTCCGGCTCCGGAGAGGCTCTTCCCACGGCCCTGAGCGCCTGTCCCATGGGAGAGCCTGGCCTTGTTTCTCTGGGCTCCTGCTCCCTTTCCTCCCTGCTCTGCCTAGCTTCAACTTCCAGCTGCTGAGGGGGTCGGACCTTCCTCTGCTGGGTGAAGAGCCCAGGGGCGAGTGTTTGGTTCCCCACGTCGGTACTTAGACGGTGTCAGGTCGCTCCGTAATCTTCTCTGAGCCAAGGCCTCTTCCAGCCCTTTCAATCCTTCGCGTGGCTCTTCCCGCGCTCCCTCTGGCCTCGCAGTGCCCTGCTCACGTGGTGGGCGCCGCAACTGGACCCAGCAGCGGTCAATGGAGAGCTCGGAGCCCCTCTGAGGCGTCCGATGTCCGCAGCCCAGGGCGCGTGAGCTCCTGGCCAGTGGCACTAAACATTAAAAAGGCTGTAGAGCAGTTTTTAAACTAAGAGATGGTGGAAAGCCGATTGGTGCGGAGAGGCACGTAAATCGGAGAGAGACTTCTCTTAGTGGAGAATCCGTTGATAGAGATTCTCTAAGCTGTAGTCGGAAAGAGAGGAGGGGAGAGAACAAACCATGGGCCAGAGCTGACACACAACCGCATACAAAGGAATCCAATGCAACAGGGAAGGGCAGACAAATAACCAGTGGCAAATTTTTAAAGTGCTTGTACACAAATGCTAGGAGTCTGACTAATAAGATGGGTGAACTAGAGTACCTCGTATTAAATGAGGAGATAGACATAATAGGCATCACTGAAACCTGGTGGAATGAGGAAAATCTGTGGGACACAATCATACCGGGATATAAAATATATAGAAAGGATAGAGCAGGCTGGGTGGGTGGTGAGGAAAATCTGTGGGACACAATCATACCGGGATATAAAATATATAGAAAGGATAGAGCAGGCCGGGTGGGTGGCGGAGTGGCACTGTATGTGAAAGATAATGTAGAATCAAATGAAATAAAAATATTAAGTGAATCAACATGTTCAATAGAATCACTATGGATAGAAATTCCATGCTCCAATAATAAGAAATGAGCAGTAGGGATATATTACCGACCACCTGACCAGGACAGCGATACTGACATTGAAATGCTGAGGGAGATTAGAGAGGCTACCAAAATAAAGAACTCTATAATAATGGGGGATTTTAATTACCCCCATATTGACTGGATACATGTCACCTCAGGAAGAGAAGCGGAGATAAAATTTCTCAATGGCTTAAATGACTGCTTCTTGGAGCAGCTAGTGAAGGAACCCACAAGGGGAGAGGCAATTCTCCATTTAGTCCTGAGTGGAGTGCAGGATCAGGTCCAGGAAATAACCGTTACAGGACCGCTTGGGAATAGTGACCATAATATAATAACATTCAACATTCCTGTGGTGGGAAGAACACCTCAGCAGTCCAGCACCCTGGCATTTAATTTCAAAAAGGGGAATTACACAAAAATGAGGAGGTTAGTTAAACAGAAATTAAAAGGCACAGTGACTAGAGCCAAATCCCTGAAAGCTGCATGGAAACTTTTTAAAGACACCATAATAGAGGCCCAACTTAAATGTATACCCCAAATTAAAAAACATAGCAAGAGACCTAAAAAAGAGTCACCGTGGCTTAACCACCATGTAAAAGAAGCAGTGAGGGACAAAAAGGTATCTTTTAAGAAGTGGAAGTCCAATCCTAGTGAGATAAATAGAAAGGAACATAAACACTGTCAAATCAAGTGTAAAAATGTAATAAGAAAAGCAAAAAAAGATTTTGAGGAACAGCTAGCCAAAAACTCAAAAAGAAATAACAAAATGTTTTTTAAGTACATTAGAAGCAGGAAGCCTGCTAAAAAGCCTGTGGGTCCCCTAGATGATCGAGCTATAAAAGGAGCAATCAAGGACGATAAAGCCATTGCGGAGAAACTAAATGATTTCTTTGCTTCAGTCTTCACGGCTGAGGACGTTGGGGAGATTCCTGAATCTGCACCGTCCTTTGTGGGTGATGAATCTGAGGAACTGTCCCGGATTGAAGTGTCATTAGAGGAGGTTTTGGAACAAATAGAAAAACTTAATGTTAACAAATCTCCGGGACCGGATGGCATTCATCCAAGGGTTCTAAAAGAACTCAAATGGGAAATTGCTGAACTATTATCTGTGGTTTGTAACCTATCCTTTAAATCGGCTTCCGTACCTAATGACTGGAAGGTAGCCAACGTGACACCAATATTTAAAAAGGGCTCTAGAGGCGATCCTGGCAATTACAGACCGGTAAGTCTAACTTCAGTACCGGGCAAATTAGTCGAAACAATAGTAAAGAATAAAATTGTGAAGCATGTAGAAGAACATAATTTGTTGGACAAAAGTCAACATCGTTTCTGTAAAGGGAAATCCTGTCTTACTAATCTATTAGAGTTCTTTGAAGGGGTTAACAAACATGCGGACAAGGGGGATCCAGTAGATATAGTATACTTGGATTTTCAGAAAGCCTTTGACAAGGTCCCTCACCAAAGGCTCTTGTGTAAATTACATGGCCATGGGATAAGAGGGAAGGTCCTTTCTTGGATTGAGAACTGGCTAAAAGACAGGAAACAAAGGGTAGGAATAAATGGTAAATTTTCAGATTGGAGAGGGGTAACTAGTGGTGTACCCCAAGGGTCAGTCCTGGGACCAATCCTTTTCAACTTATTCATAAATGATCTGGAGAAAGGGGTAAGCAGTGAGGTAGTAAAGTTTGCAGATGATACCAAACTGTTTAGGATAGTCAAGACAGAAGCAGACTGTGAGGGACTCCAAGAAGATCTCACCAAACTGAGTGATTGGGCAACAAAATGGCAAATGAAATTTAATGTGGATAAGTGTAAAGTAATGCACATCGGGAAAAATAACCCCAACTATACGTACAGTATGATGGGGGCTAATTTGGCTACGACAAATCAGGAAAGAGATCTTGGAGTTATCGTGGACAGTTCTCTGAAAACTTCCACACAGTGTGCAGCGGCGGTCAAAAAGGCAAATAGGATGCTAGGAATTATTAGGAAAGGGATAGAAAATAAGACCCAGAATATCTTACTGCCCCTGTATAAAACTATGGTACGCCCACATCTTGAATACTGTGTACAGATGTGGTCTCCTCACCTCAAAAAAGATATTTTGGCCTTGGAAAGGGTTCAGAAAAGGGCAACTAAAATGATTAGGGGTTTGGAACGGGTCCCATATGAGGAGAGGTTAAAGCGACTGGGACTTTTCAGTTTAGAAAAGAGGAGACTGAGGGGGGATATGATAGAGGTCTATAAAATCATGAGTGGTGTGGAGAGGGCTGATAAAGAAAAGTTATTTATTAGTTCCCATAATAGAAGAACTAGAGGACACCAAATGAAATTAATGGGTAGCAGGTTTAAAACTAATAAAAGAAAGTTCTTCTTCACACAGCGTGTAGTCAACCTGTGGAACTCCTTGCCAGAGGAGGCGGTGAAGGCTAGGACTATAATAGAGTTTAAAGAGAAGCTAGATAATTTCATGGAGGTTAGGTCCATAAAAGGCTATTAGCCAGGGGATAAAATGGTGTCCTTGGCCTCTGTTTGTCAGAGGCTGGAGAGGGATGGCAGGAGACAAATCGCTTGACCATTGTCTTTGGTCCACCCTCTCTGGTGCTGGCCACTGTCGGCAGACAGGATACTGGGCTAGATGGACCTTTGGGCTGACCCAGTCCGGCCGTTCTTATGTTCTTATGTCCCAGCTCGCGTTGTCTGGTTCCTGGGCACACGGGAGATGCCACCATCCACCCTGCCTTCCCCAGCTGTGGCGCTCAGCCATGGTCACGCAGGCTCCGTGTGCTGAGTCCTTGGCGGCATGGGATCCTGCGGAGAGGTGCCCTGCAGCGCCTGCCTGCCTCCCGCCTCGCTGGTCTGGCTGAAACCCCTGCCAGGTCTGGCACGTGGATTTCTCTTTCCTGGCCTCGGAGACCTCAAGCCCCTTCTGGACACAGCCCCGAGCCGAACCAGCCTTCCCCCTAAGGTCGCGCAGCCTGGCTCCTGGTGCAGTCTCGCTCGCCAGCTGTCCAGAGATACCGCTCGGGCACAGCGAGCTCGGCAGGCCCTGTGAGCAGCGGAGCGGCTGAGAGGCCTCTGTCCTATGTTAATAAAGTCTGAGACTTCCCAGCTGCAGCCTCCCTTCCCAGGAATCTGGGGGGCTTCCCCTTCTTCTCTGTGTGGTCTGTCTGCTGCTTGCCGGTCTTCAAACGAGAGGAAATCTGGGAACTGGGAGAGGCCTTGAGAGCCATCGAGTCCAGTTCTCTGCCCTCGTGGCAGGACCCAGCACTGTCGAACCATCCCTGGCAGGTGTGTCCATCCTGCTCTTCAATATCTCCAGGGGTGGAGATTCCAAAATCCCCAGGCAATGTATTCCCCTGTTTAACCACCCTGACAGGTGGGACGTTTTTTCTAGTGTCCAACCTAAACCTCCCTCGCTGCAGCTTAAGCCCCTTGCTTCTTGTCCTCTACACAGAGGCCAAGGAGAACAATTTGTCTCCCCCCTCCCTGTGACACCCTTTTAGGAACTTGAAAACCGCTCTCACGTCCCCTCGCTGTCTTCTCTTTTCCAAACTCAACAAGCCCAATTTTTTCAGTCTTCCCTCCTAGCTCATGTTCTCTAGACCTTTCATCATTCTTGTTGCTCGTCTCTGGATCCTCTCCAATTTCTCCACATCTTTCTTGAAATGTGGTGCCCAGAACTGGACACTATACTCCAACTCAGTGCAGCGCAGAGCAGAGCGGAAGAATGACTCCTCGTGTCCTGCTCACAACGCTCCTGTTATGCACCCAGAATTGCAAAAAAACCCAACAGCGTCGCACTGTTGACTCTCATGTAGCTTGTGGTCCATTCTGATCCCGTTCTGCAGGATCCTTCCTAGACAGTCGCTGCCCATTCTCTGTGTGAGAAACGGATTGTTCCTTCCTACGTGGAGCACTTTCCATTGCACCCTGTTTACCTCAGACCGTTGCTCCACTTTGTCCAGATCAGTTTGAACGTTGACACTCTGCTGCAAAGCATTTGCAGCCCCTCCCAGCTTGGTATCTTCTGCAAAATGAATTGTACTCTGTGCCAATACCTAAACCACCGATGAAGATATTGAACAGAACCGGCCCCTGCGGAACCCGCCTCCTTCTGCCCTTCAGCACGGCTGCGAACCGTTAATAACGACTTTCTGAGAGTGGTTCTCCAGCCAGTTCTGCACCCACCTTACAGTAGCCCTGTCTAGGTTGTATTTGCCTAATTTATTGATGAGGTGGTCATGTGAGACCGTATCAAATGCCTCAGTAAAGTCTAGATAGCCCACGTCCATCACTTCTAAGCCAGGGAAGATAATGGTGACGTTAAACTGACTGGTCTGGAGTTTTCCTGGGTTGTTCTTATTTCCCTTTGTATAGATGGGCCCTAGATTTGCCCTTTTCCAGTCTTCTAGGATCTCTCCTGACTTCCATGACTTTTTCAGAGATAACTAAAGGCTCAGCTACCTCCTCTAGCAGCACCTTGAGTTACCTAGGGTGTATTTCATCAGGGCCTGGTTACTTGAAGACCTCTAACTTTTCTAAGTGATTTTAACTTCGAAACTTGCCCCATTTCCACTAGCAGTCACCATGTTAGGCATCCGGTCACCATCAAACTTCTTGGTGAAAACCGAAACACGGACTTCATGAAGCACCCCTGCCATTCCCACGTTTCCTCCTGTTGTTTCTCCCTCTTCACTGAGCAAGGGGCCTGCCCGTGTCACTCCAGAAGGGGAGTCTCTGTAAAGTGACGTCTTTGACTCAAGATCGGAGGGTGTTGCAGCTCGGACAGAAGTGAGGGGCCTGCGCAGGTGAGGTCAGTGGTGGTGATGGTCCCTCCTGGCCTTGAAACCTGGGTCCAAACCCAGTGACCTACCCCATCTCCGCACAGAGCCAGAGGCCATGCGGTGCGCCCAGGCTGGCCCCGCCCTGGGAAACCTTATGCCCTCTATAGCTACTGCTGCCACCATGGGCCCGCTCTCCTGGCTGCCTCCGGCCCCACCGGATCCCTCCTCCGCAGAGTTGCGGAGGGTTCGTTTCTGGGCCCTTGGCGTGGATTGAAGGCTCAGTCCTGGCTTGTCCCATATCTGAGCCAGGCGTGTCGGGAGGAGGATGAGTTCAGTCAGGGATGGCTCTGCGGGGACGGGGGAGACCGCGCCGCCGACGTGGGGGGGAGCCCCGCTCCCCTCAAAGTGCAGTAGCAAAGGAGGAAGGCGGGGCGGTCCGTGTTCCGACGTGGCCAGTGGGAAGCAAGTTGATCTTTTGTTGCCAGGTAAAATGGCCTCAGTTTGTAACCCTCCCCCAATAACCTTGGTGTAGCACGTTGCCTGGGCCGTGCGTTGCCTTGGCGCATTCTCCAGCCTTCTCTCGGCTTGGCTATGTCGGCAGCCTTGGGAGTCGGGTCTCTGATTGCCGCCGCTGCGGCACGCTCTGCTCTCTGCGCGTTTCCTTTGTCAGCTCCCCGTTTTTCACTTCCGATTAATTTGACGGAGTTAAGCGATGAAAAAGTCCTTTACGTTAATGATCAAAACAGTCCCTAGAGGTTGGAGCCGCGTTTTGATTGAAAATGACAGGCTTAGATGAGGCGGCTCGTCCTTGCTGCCGCACGGCTCGCTGTCTGGATCAATCTTGGTTGCAGATTTCTCCTTTTCTCTTAGCATGGGAGCCCCCCATAGCCTGGGCGGGAATTGATTGGCTTTTGAAGGCCTTGGCTTCCAAGCGACCTGAGCGAGGTGGGGTGGCCAGCATGCGGCTCGCTCCTCTTCGCCTGCGGCTGCAGCGTCGTGCTCTTGGTGTGGCTTGGGTGAAGGAGGGGCCTTGTCGTCCCCCCCGCGGTATCGGAGGAGCATCTGTCTTTGGTGGATTTATCCTCCCCCGTGCGGCAGGGCAGGGCTGTTCTCCCCACTGGCTGGGGCCTGCACACAGGG